GGAGGAGGAGGAGGACGCGGGGCGCCATCTCTTCAAAACGAGGACCCAACACCACAGGATGGTTGGGACATATGGAGAATCCCGGGATTTGTGTCTATTTGTGTGTCCCATGGCCTCTTTAACCTTTACCGCGTGAGAGATCGTGCAGCCAGTGGACGTAACGTGTGAGGATGCTTCGCAGGATAGCGCCACCGCAGAGGCAGTGAGATAACATCGGCATGGTGGTGGTGGTGGTGGTGGTGGTGGTGGTGGTGCATGTGTTGAGGCTGACTGCGATAGCGATTGTGGCGGGAAGGCAGCGCGAGGAGGAGAAGGAGCAAGATCGATTTGTTTCTGCGTTCCGCAGTTTTCTGGAGACACTGGACCCCTCATGGGATCTCGAAAGGCCTCCGCAGACCTCGAATATATGTAGAGCCCTTAGGGACCTCCAGAGATTCCAGAGACCACCGAGGTGGCGGAAGAGGCGGAGGGAGACGGCGAACAGCAGGAGACGATGTCTGGTCTCGCTTCCAGACCGCCCACCTGCACCGGCAGAGGGAGGCGGAGAGACCGGAGGTACCATGGCCCCGGCGTGTCGTATCCCAATCACACGGCCTACACCGATGACTGGGGCAAGGAGCTCGAGGGGGAAAAGCCGCCACACGCGTAAACTTTTGGGGCTCCGCGCGGATTTCTTGGATCTGCGCTGGGCTCCCCTCCCTCCCTGCAGCGCGGAGCGCGCCAGGGGGCGGCGCTGGAGGCGCCGCCAGGGGGCCCCAGCGCAGATCCAAGAAATCCCCGCGGACCGTTAAACGTGTATGTAGCCCTCGCGCCTTCCGAGAAGTTTTTTCCCGGAAAGGGCGTAGGCCCAGGGTTCTACCCGGTTGGAGGCCAGCGGATTTCCGTTCGATAGTCAGCTTGGCGAAGGACCCAACCATATGAAGTTATGAGTACCGCAGTTGTGAGCTCCCTATGGACGAGAGGGTGGGTGAGACGCATGTGGACACCGCCACTGGGGCCTTCGTTGGAGCTCCCTATGGGGCCACGGAGCGCTGTGCTGGGTGGGCGAGACGCATGTGGACACCGCCACTGGGGCCTTCGGTGGAGCTCCCTATGGGGCCACGAAGCGCTGCAATGGGTGGGTGAGACACATGTGGACACCGCCACTGAGGCCTTTGGTGGAGCTCCCTATGGGGCCACGAAGCGCTGTGCTGGGTGGGCGAGACGCATGTGGACACAGCCACTGGGGCATCCGGTGGAGCTCCCTATGGGGCCACGAAGCGATGCACTGTGTGGGGGAGACGTATGTGGACGACGCCTCTGGGGCCTTCGGTGGAGCTCCCCATGGGGCCAAGACGCGCTGCACTGGGTGGGGAGACGCATGTGGACACCGCCACTGGGGCATTCGGTGGAGCTCCCCATGGGGCCATGAATCGCTGTGCTGGGTGGGGGAGACGCATGTGGACACCGCCACTGGGGCATTCGGTGGAGTTCCGTGTGGGGTCCCGAAACATTGTGTTGGGTGGGGAGACGCATGTGGGCACCGCCACTGGGACCCTATGTCGTGGAGTTCCGTGTGGGGTCACGAAACGTTGTGTTGGGTGGGGGAGACACATGTGGACACCGCCCATTGGGCATTCGGTGGAGCTCCCTATGGGACCATGAAGCGCTGTGCTGGGTGGGAGAGACGCATGTGGTCACCGCCACTGGGACATTCGGTGGAGCTCCCTATGGGGCCAGAAAGCGGTGTGCTGGGTGGGGTGAGACGCAGGTGGGCACCGCCGCTGGGGCCTTCGGTGAAGCTCCCTATGGGGCCACGGGACGCTGTGCTGGGTGAGGGAAACGCATGTGGACATCGCCACTGGGGCCTTCCCCGGAGCTCCCCACGGGGCCACGAAACGCTGTGCTGGGTGGGGGAGAAGCATGTGGACACCGCCATTGGGGCATGCGGTGGAGCTCCCGATTGGGCCACGAAGCGCTGTGCTGGGTGGGGGAGACGCATGTGGATATCGCCACTGGGGCATTCGAGCTCCCTATGGGGTCACGATAAGTTGTGTTGGGTGGGGGAGACGCATGTGGACACCGCCACCGGGCCCTCGGTGGAGCTCCTTACGGGGCCACGGAACGTTGTGTTGGGTGGGGGAAACGCATGTGGACACCGCCACTGGGGCATTCGGTGGAGCTCCCCATGGGGCCACGATAAGCTGTGCTGGGTGGGAGAGACGCATGTGGACACCGCCACTGGGGCATTCGGTAGAACCCTCTATGGGGCCACGAAGCGGTGTGCTGGGTGGGGGAGACGCATGTGGACACCGCCCATTGGGCATTCGGTGGAGCTCCCTATGGGACCACGAAGCGCTGTGCTGGGTGGGGGAGACGCATGTGGTCACCGCCACTGGCTCATTCCCTGGAGCTCCCTATGGGGCCACGAAGCGCTGTGCTGGGTGGGAGAGACGCATGTGGACACCGCCACTGGGGCATTCGGTAGAACCCTCTAGGGGGCCACGAAGCGGTGTGCTGGGTGGGGGAGACGCATGTGGACACCGCCACTGCGGCATTCGGTGGAGCTCCCTATTGGGCCACGAAGCGCTGTGCTGGGTGGGAGAGATGCATGTGGTTCCCGCCACTGGGGCATTCGGTGGAGCTCCCTACGGGGCCACGGACCGCTGTGCTGCGTGGGGGAAACGCATGTGGACACGGCCACTGGGGCATCGGTGGAGCTCCTTATGGGGCCACGAAACGTTGTGTTGGGTGGGGGAGACGCATGTTGACGCCGCCACTGGGGCATTCGGTGGAGTTGCCTATGGTGATGAGTATGATGACGACAACGACGAGGACATGCGCAAGGCAGAGGCAGGGATGGGAGGAGGGAGGACGGGGAGGAGGGAGAAGGGGAAGGAATGAAGGAAAGAGGGAGGGAAGAAGGGAGGGAGGGAAGGAGGAAACGCGGGGACCGTCTCTTCAAAACGAGGACCCAACACCGCAGGATGGTTGGGACAAAATCGAAGTAAAGTCCAATTCGGCGTGGAAAAAATGTGTTTCGCGCGTGACCGCTCGAGGAAAATGCGCACCCCACCTCGGATCCTCGATGAATAACGGGGTCTGCAGACACCCGTTTTCCTTTGTTTAAAAAATGGTGCGGGGCATTTTTTAGCAGAGTCCAACAGAAAAAAAACTATGTCTGGAATCCTGACCGGGACGCAGAAATGTGAAAATGTTACCTTTTGCAGAATTTGACGGGCCTGGGCGCTCCAGGATGCCCAGGAGGTTCTGGCAGCGCAAACCCAGCGTATTTTACGAGGGATCGCGGTTTTGGGAGCGCAGATCCTGCGTAATTTACGAGAACTCGGGGCCCTGGGAGCGCGGATCCAGCGTAATCTATCAGGGATCGTGGCCCTGGGAGTGCGGGGGCTGCGTAATTTACGAGGGGGTGCGGCTTTGGGTGCGCAAATCCAGGGTAATTTCAGCTCTCCCCGAGGCTAGGATCCACTAATGGTGTTTTTTCATGCCCCTTTTGTTTTTTTGTTTTTTCTTGTTTCGTTTTTGCGGCGCGCGCTGGGCTCGCGCTCCGCACTCATTGCTCATTGCCGTTTTTGTTGGATTCGGGCGCTATGGTTTTGCCCCCTCCTTCTCTAGGGGGGTGGCTGAATCGCGGGCGCGCGTATGCCCATGGTTGCGCATCTCGCCAGAATGATTCGCGGCCATGGCGATGGCGCGGGGCGGGGCCCGGTGCGCGCCCAACGGCATGCGCGTTGCATGATAGCGGCGGAGTCGTTTTAAACGTGTGGTCATTATTTTGGCGAGCTTTGGAAATGACCCGCCAACGCCTTCCCGACATTGCAAAACACTCACAGGTGGCCATTGCTGTCAAACGCTCACAAATTGCCATACACCGCCCTGCAGGCACTCGGAGGCTTCCTCCCAGTGTCGCGCCCGGGAGGCTCACATAGTGAGTCGGGCGAGTGTTTCTCAGCCATGTCAGTCGCCCTCGGCATCCCTGCGCGCGCTGACAGGGGGTGCTTTTTGCAGACGACTGCCGACGGCCCATCGACCCATCGGCCCAAATTGCATTGCCGATTAAGGAACTTGCGGGTGCTTCAACATGTATAACAGTTGAGCTGCAAAGGGGACCTTCGCCACAGACGTGCGCAAGATATGCACGGGCCAATGTACGACCATGTGAGCATTAACCGGTATAGAACACGACATTGGGCATCGGCCAGAATATATAAATATGCATGCGTGGGCGGGTCAAGAAAAACACGTGCATGGGCCAGTGAAGAACGAGAGCGATGCACAAGTGTATCCAACATGTGGTAACGACTACTCGACCGTCAAGGTACGCGGCCTGCCTCTTTCGAGCGCTGTCTTCGGCACCGGCATTGCCTCGCGGGGTTGTCGTGGGGCTTTGTTGGGTTCCCACGGGTCTCGTGGGGCTCGCTTGTCGGGCTCTCGCGGGGGTCCTGCGGGCCCTTCATGGGGTTCCCCGCAAGGATTTCGCCGGGCGTTCCTCGGTTCGCTCGGGGTCTCGTGAGGCCCACGTGGGGCTCTCGCCGGGCTCCCCCAGGGGTTCTCGCGAGGCTCTCGTGGGGCTCTTGCGGGCTCGATTGGGCTCCGTCGGGCTCCTCCTTTCCCCTTGTCGTCCTCCCTCCTCCTTTCCTTGTCCTCCTCCTTCCTCTAGTCGGGCTCTGTCAGGCTTCGTCGGGCTCATCCTGTCGCGTTTTCCTTTCCCTTTTGAGCTCTGTCGGGTTCCGTCGGGCTCCGTACGGCTCCTTCCGGCTCCGTCGGGTTCCGTCGGATTCTCGCAGTCTTCGTTGGGCTCTCATCGGTGGGTTTTGAAAAGTTTCGGACTCTCTTGGGCGAAGTCATTCAGGGATCGCATCAAGAAGGCAACAACGAGGCTCTTCCAGGAGGCCGCCCACGAACGGCCCAGGAGCGGACCCCCGAACGCCCCCACTAAGGGACCCACTAACGAGCCCGCTAACGAGCCCACTAAGGGACCCACTAACGAGCCCACTAAGGGACCCACTAACGAGCCCACTAAGGGGCCCACTAACGACCCACTAACGAGCCCACTAACGAGCCCACTAAGGGGCCCACTAGCGAGCCCACCAACGCGCCCACGAGAAATCTTAAGCGGGACTTCGCACTCGACTGTGGCACTCGACTTTAAGCCGAATCGGCATGGCCACGAACCCTGTGACAGTCGTCAGTGGGGCGCTAGCGGGGAGTGCAGTGGGGAGTGCAGTGGGGAGTGCAGTGCGGACCCCAACGGCCCTCTGAATGCTCCAGGGCCCCTGTTGCCCTGAGGAGCCGGAGGAGCAGGAGGAGGCAGGAGGAGGAAGAGGAGGAGGGAGGAGGAGGATGAGGAATAATAATATGCAGGTGCAAGAGAGGATGAAGGAAGGCGAGGAGGAGGAGGAGGAGGGGGGGAGGAGGAGGCAGGAGGAGGATGCAGAGGATGGGGGCTGCAGGAGGAAGCAGGATAAACTAGGAGGAGGAGGAGGAGGCAGGAGGGAAGACGGCCTCGGAGGGCTGGAAAAAGGGCCCCACAAGGCTCCCTGGGCCCCCAGATGGCCCCCAAGAGCACCGCAGATGTCTCCAAGAGGGGCCCAGGAATATCTACCAACCGACCCCCT